CACACACACACACACACACACACACACACACACACACACACACACACACACACACACACACACAGAGATGCATGCAATGTTTGACTTAGTGGGCTACATGTACATAATCCAGAGTAATGAATGCCAGGCCTTGCAATGTTCGACTCGAGCAAACTGGTACACCAGGATAAACCCTGGGTTCACAATGAGAGAATCAACCAGATGGACAACCCAAGCACACTGCGGAAACAGACCATTCTCCTCCTGCACCATCAGGACATCACATCCATCATAAGCCCAGAGGCCTGTTTCAGAGACCATACCAGACCTTATATGTGCAGTACAGATCTTAGGAGGACAACCACATGTTTCAGACCCATTGCCTGCACGTCACCACATATCACGCAATGAGATCAACAAGCACTACTGCACATTCAGAGTCAGACTCCTTCAGTAAGCACCACCACTACTACCTCTCTCCCCAAGCCGTAACAGAAGCACAAGCACTTAGCCAAGAAGGCAAGCAAACGCATCAGCGCGCGCAGCTGGCAGCTCACTGTTTCATTCCCAGTAGCGCGGCAGACGGCTATATTGCCTTATCCATTCCTCAGCAGGCCATCCACCTGCTACATCCCCGCATTCTCCCAACTGTAGTGAACATGAAGAGCCAATGCAATCACATACAATGAACACACGGAGAGTCACAGCACACCACAATTATCTCCTGCGCTACCGGGGAAAGATTCAGTGACACTTTACCATTCTGTGTTCACCCTCACATATCACAAACAGTACATGTCAAGTCAGGCAAGCCCACATACAATGGATTCGCAATGCACTTCGCTAAACAGTCCATTACCTCAGAGACCTGAGCACAGTGCACTTCCATACCATCTATACTATGGAACTACCCAATCCTAGCTACCCTCTAATCATCCCTCCACTGACAGAAGTATGTTACCTAGCCACATGCCACCAAAGGGGTATAGCTTGACAGGAGCCATCTCCCCTCCACTGTCCTTCAAAGACATACATATACCACATCACGCACCTCCCGTTGCAGTCTGCATCTGCACCCATGCAAACTCCAAACGGCACGTCACCAGCATGTGATGACTTCACCATCGCATGCAGCCCCTTTCTTTCGATGAAACATCGCAGTCTTCACCATGGTGGTCATGAGATGTTGAGTCCCATTTCCCATTCCTTCCCTCTGGTTCAGACCTTATGAGAGCCATGTCAAGCAACTTTGCCTCCTCAAGATGCAGTTTACAAGCAATTAGAATTGCTCTTCGACCGTCTTCAAGGTGAAACTGTGCTTCATTCCGCAGTGTATCACCCCTACCGCCCAAACATCTGTACTTTCAAAATGGTCTGTGGCCAGACCTTGGCTCTGCCACACCACCTCAAAACTGGAAAGCAGCCACAGCCCCCTCCTTGCTTTGTTTTGCCGCACCCAATCAGAGAAGTGGCAAAGGCACACGATTTAATTGTGCTCACCCGTCGCAAGTGCTGCCCATCACATTCCAACCCCTACCCACACTGCCCCTCTCCATCCCCTCCATTCTCTGTCCCTGCACCATCAGTTTTTGACAACCAGTCCGCGTCCTGCGCCCCATCTGCGACTTTCCCTCCTTCCCCGTTGGCCATTTCACAATGCATCCCATCCAGGTCATCTGCTTCTGGTTCGCCAGCATCTACTGCCTCGCCTGCCACAAAATCAGGCTCCGTGGCCATGGCCGGTGAGACATCAGCAGGTTGAGGGAGGGCCGCCGGGGGCAGCTCACCAGAGGGCAGTGGCACATCGGAAATAACAGAGGTATCCGACGGTGGACATTCCGTCAACGACGTTCCGAAAACGTGGAACTGGGATGACGGCGATAACATGTCAGCGTGTGAAGATGATGGGGCATTGTTCGCAAGAGAATGTGGGAGCAAAGGGGTCCGGTGTGCCACAACAGCACCAGGAGCCTCCACAGCCATCTTCCCACTGCCATGGCCAGTCCCTCCTCGCACCGGCGTACTCAAAGCCATATCCCCCGATGCGATGGATTGCTCTCCTGAGGTATTTCTGCCTTCCACTGTCCCATTTCTGGCTCCAGAGCCTGGTCCACCGCTCCGAGCTACAGTTCCCCCACTAGACGCAGTGGCTGTTTGTCCTTTGACCGAGGCTGAACGGTCCTTCTTATCCTGCTCTGCTATGGCAGAGTCTACAATCATCCCGTCCCCTGAGCGAACAGTTGCATCTTTACTCATGGGGCCGCTTTTCGGTGCCAGAGGTGAACCCACAGGGTAAGCCCGAGGAGCTGCAAATGAGAAGTTGTCTTTGGTTAGTCCATATTTCTCCTTGTACATTGGATTCTCCAGCAGAAACCTGCAAAATGATTGGCCCACACCCAATCCAGCACCAACAAACAGCTTCACAACGTCATTTCAACTACAATATACACATCGAGGCCTCACATCGGCACACAGAAAAAAGAAGCATAACATACTGAAGAAAATTGTCAAGTCAGACAAGAATACGGTTACCGCGTGGAAATGCCAAACATATCACAACAAACTTGAAAAGTCCTCAACAGCAGCGCTAAAAGGAGACAGGATCTTCACAAAACTCGAGCCGCATGACATAGAAACAAGCAATCAACTGCAGGAAGAAGCACTATAGAGTCACCAGGAACAAGCATGTTTACCTTTCAACCTCCACTATAGATCGGAGCTGCTTGTTACAAGGTGAGTAATAATACCTGCATGCAAATCAACGTCTCACACACACACACACACACACACACACACACACACACAATCAAACAGACAATGTCAATCAATCGATTTGGTCTTCCGTAAGTAGTTGTGCTGAGATGATTTGCAGCGTCATTTGCCACTGTAGACCAGGAATTACAGAGCCTAACCTTAATTCGTCTTCTTCTTTTTTTTTTAACGCAGAGTGCTCCCATCTATTGGTGGGGAGCTGCACCTGCTGGAAACCAGGTCCAGCGTCCCAAGATCATCGTGAGCACAGCACTTATCGAGGTTCAAACTTCAAACCCTATTTGGACACAGAAAAGACGAGACTACAGTAATAAGACATTTAGAGAGGGGAGTCTCCCGCCGTAGATGTAATACGGATGAGTTCACCATTAGCCTAGCGTGATGGCCAATCAGAATAGTTCAGATCTAACAGTCAGCAACATGACACCTGCAGGCAGTACAGACTGGATTGTGAACTGGGATTCACTTCACAGGTAATATAAGGGCACTGGATGTGGGCACAGCATCTGTGTCTTTTGATGTCTCAGTGCCGAAGAAATCAACCACACATTACATCAAACATGTCAGTAAGACTGTCCACTAATTTCCTGGCAAAACAAGTAGGCACATTGTCAACACACCTCCTCGGTCACTATCTCACAAACCGAGACTTGCAGTGCAGTGTCCCCGAAATTTGGCTAAAAAATGACCTTTTACCAACTGCTTGCCACGGTTGACCGGCTCATCGCAAAGTTGGACCTTACATAAAACAACAGCTCTAGAGATACCATTCCGTCGAAGCAGTACGGTGTGCGCCAATTGAGTCCCACCCTCACCACTGAGTACTCGTCCCTTGCCAAAGAAGACAGCGCACCCACAAAAAATCACTTGAGGCACTACCTGACTTGTTTTTTCTCTTCTCCCGACCTTTTTAACTTCCCCACGGCCGCATTCTGGCGATCTGGTGGGCATCCAGACCATCCTGCCCTAGTTGTCCAGATCTGATATCTGGACAACTAGGGCGGGATGCTCTGGATGCCACCAGATCGCCAGAATGCGGCCGTTAGGAAGTTCAAAAAGTCGGGAGACGAAAAAAATCAAGTCAGGTAGTGCCTCAAGTCAGGTAGCGCCTCAAGTCAGGTAGTTGTCCAGATATCAGATAAACAGATCCCATCTACATTAATTGCAAATACACATTTTTGAAATATCCTGAATTCCTAGGCTATCTGGGACGCCCGGCCAGGAACCTGCCCACAACCACTCCAGCAAAAAAAGGAAAAGGAAACAAAAACGCAAGACAAGCCCGAATCCAGGCTGCTTCTTTTCTTTAGTGTTTTCGTGTGTGTAGAATGGAGATTGGGAGAAATAGGAGGGGTGGGAGGTGGGCAAACAGGGTCACAGACATGCATGCGCACGCAGAATGGATGGAGTGTCACAGAGAATGGGGGTGGCAGCGAACAAGTGTGGCATGCACAGATCCCACAGGTCCCGTCTAAACTTGAGGACCTAGATTCATTGATGCCAAAAGACTTCATGTGGATGTCATAGTAGGTGTCAATCTCACCAAGTTTTTCGCACAGAACAACAGAGTTTGAGAGTCATTGAGACGGAGCAGTACATAGATATCGACTCCCCGGAGTTGTACATCCGCACTCAGATCGGTAAGGCAACCTGTAGCCCCATGACCGATAGCCATGCAACTCGCAAGCATATCAGCCAAGACTTCCTCACTCACGCCGGCTCATGGCCGCAAGTTGGCCCTGGTGTTATATTCAAAGTACACCCTAAAAATGTCAGATTTTACTCTTTTTTTTTAGAGTGTAATGCCCCTTCGAATATAATGTGCCTTCGAAATTCGAATACAATGCCCAGGCATTATACTTAACGTCGAATACCCGAGCATAGTATTTGAATCCCACATGGGTAGAATGTGTTGTAGAGGGGGAAGGGGGGGTATACATGCGATTGAAAGGGGGTTGAAAGGGGATTTAACTTCAGAGGAGTGTGCTTTACTTTGATTCTATTTCGTTCTTTTTATCTTTGAATTAATAAGGAATTTTGAAGTGACCTTGGCCAAAAGTTGTATGCAGTGCAATTCCACAACTTTTTTTTCAGATTTTGGGGCGGCATCGAAATTGCAAAAATTTGCTGAATACAAGACCCTGGCGTTATGTTTATAGTACTTCATACACAACCCCAGGGGTCATGGTAGTCGTTTAAGGGCCAAGGCCACATACACTTTTCAAGGCCCAGGCGATATGTTTAGACACCACCCAGGGCGTTATTTTTGGGTGAAGACGGTAGTTGCTTAAGAGCCAAGTCTACACACACTTGTCTGCCCTCTGTGCGCATGCGTGCTGTGGGCACCATACCACTGAGAGAAATGGTGTGTGCACATTTGGCAGTGCATTTGGAGGGGGAGGAGACAGAGGAGGGTGCCTTCTGCCCGCACAATGTCTGCCGCACCCTGTCAGGCAGCACCAGAGCTAATTGGCGCTTGCAGGCCCTGTGTATGCATGCTGCATAAGCAATACACATGTGGCTGGCCACCCTCAATACACACCTGTGGTTGGCCTCCCAGTCCTAGATAAGGACTTCTAGTGTTAGTGATATCTTCAGGCCGGGTAGCCTTGCACGCACTCAAAAATATGAAAAGTGATCCATCAGTGGTTACTAGAGGGAGTGAGTAGCCAGGGTTGGCAGCAGGTGCAAGGCCGAGATCGACAGGACCGTTTGCACACGCAAATGACAAACGGCTCGGATAGCCCCTTCATGATGATTAGCAGGTTCCATAGTTTTGTAGATGAGGGATGTCTGCATCTGGGCCAGTTCTGCCCTTTGTCAAAAGTGCGCCACTGGCCGTTCAGAAAGGCTTGGCGCACCATGCAGGGCCTTCATGCCCGGGTGTACTGGTGGTTTAAACCCCTAAAGACCTTGTTCGTACCCTTCAGACCCACTCAGGTGAAATGCCACCAAACTCAAAGATTACGTTGGATTGAATGGTCTGACAGAGGCCAGAACTGGCCCAGAAGCAGATATCCCTCATCTACAAAAATATGCAACCTGCTAATCATCACGAAGAGGCTATCCAAGCTGTTTGCCATAATTCAGTGTAATCTTAGAGTTTGGAAACAGTTCACCTGAGTGGATCTGAAGGGTACGAACAAGGTCTGAATGGGTTTGAACCACCAGTACACCCGGGCATGGAGGCCCTGCACTGTGCGCCAAGCCTTTCCAAACCGCCAGCGGCGCACTTTTTTCTTCTTTTTTGGAAGGCGCCACCAGTCATTGTGGTTCAGTACCAGAGTTGGTGACTCATGATTTTCTGCAAGGCTGGGGCTGTGTACTGGAGGTTTGATGAGCCCTTGAAGGGGCTTGTCCTAATCCAATTCAGCTACGTTAGTGCTTATTTTCAGTTCAAAGGAATTCCAAAGTGCCTTTCAGGCAGAACTTGTTTGGTTTGCATTTCCACAGAAGACTTCATTTCAAGATCTTCTTTCCGTTTTTTTTAATTTTGTCCTGGGGCTGCCCAGGACTTTGCCCACATCTGCACCGATCAGGCCACCCGTAGGACCTATACTACCGTCTTCACCCGAATAGAACGCCCGGTCCATCGTCTTCATGGATACCGGGCATTCTATTCGGGTAAAGACGGTAGCAAAGGTCCTACAGGTGTGGGCAAAGTGCTGGGCAGCCCCCAGGAGAAAATTCAAAAAAACGGAAAAAAGATCTTGAAATGAAGTCTTCTGTGGAATTGCAAACCAAACAAGTCGGGTCAAGTCGACTCCAAATACAGCTATAATGACCGGGCGTTCTATGAATTCCCTAGGTCTCTAAGACCTTTGCCTATCCAAGCAGGACCTATAACGCCCGCTATAGCTGTATTTGAGGTCGACCGCATTGAAGGCCAGGGCAACAAAACAACATCAAGAGCACCACTAGGTCTCTAAGACCTTTGCCTATCCCTGCAGGACCCAGGGAATCTGTTTCCATCGACTTCATGGATACCGGAGTGAGTAGGCACAGGAGAAGCCAAGTCATGGTCATAATAGATCGACTTAGTAGTATGCAGTTTTCGTACCTTTGCCCGCAGAGGCAAGAACTGAATTAGTTATAGAAAAGTTCTTCAATTTCTGGGTAAGTGAGCATGGCATGCCGCTGTCAATAGTTAGTGACAGAGACGCGGTTTACCAGCCAGGACTGGCAAGATGTCATGAAAGTCTACTACTCTAAGGGCATACTCACACTAGCGGTTTTTTTTGCTAAATGGCAAAATCTGCTATGCTGTTGAGTCACACTAGGGTTTCCCGACCACCAAAATTGCAAACGGGGTAGCGTTTGTCAGCGGCCTGGGGGGCCGCGGGGATGGGCATTTTGCCACCACCTCGAGAGGTGGTGGCAAATTCTCTTTTGGCCGTCGCGAATTCTCTTTAGCCTTTTGGGAATTGTTTAAAAAAAATTCCGCGCTTTGTGACCATGATAGGCAGCAATTTTGCAATTGCCAGAGAGTTCTGCTCGTGTCCTTTGTGATTTGCAACCCATGTGTGACCGGGCAGGGTACTATTTCAGCAAACACGGGAAAGAAAATTCAGCAGATTTTGCTAGATTGCCACCGCTGTGTGAGTATGCCCTAAGCTGTTGATGTCGTCTGGTTGTCATCCAGAGACAAACGGCCAGACAGAACAGATGAACAAGATCTTGCAACAATTACTCTGAACTAGGGGACCTGTTGCGGCTACGCCCGCAATAAAACTGGAATGTTTGCCAAGAAGTTGGACTCTCTCTCTCTCTCTCTCTCTCTCTCTCTCTCTCTCTCTCTCTCTCTCTCTCTCTCTCTCTCTC